AGAAGAGAAGAGAGAGATAGAAAGAGAGAGAGACAGAGAGACAGAGAGAGCGAGAGACGAGAGAGAGAGAGAGAGAGCAGAGAGCAGAGAGCAGAGAGCAGAGAGAGAGAGAGAGAGCGGGAGAGAGCGAGGGAGAGCGAGAGAGAGCGAGAGAGAGCGAGTGAGAGCGAGAGAGGGAGAGAGAGAGAGAGAGAGAGAGAGAGGGAGAGAGAGCGAAAGAGAGCGAGAGAGAGCAAGAGAGAGCGAGAGAGCGAAAGAGAGAGAGAGAGAGAAGAGAGAGAGAGAGATAGAGAGAGAAAGAGAGAGAGAGAGAGAAGAGAAGAGAAGAGAAGAGAGAGAGCGAGAGAGAGAGAGAGGGAGAGTGAGAGAGAGAGGAGAGAGCAGAGAGAGAATAGAGAGAAGAGAGAGAGGAGAGAGAGAGAGAAGAGAGAGAGAGAGAGGCAGAGATAGAGGCAGAGAGAGAGAGGCACAGAGAGAGAGGCAGAGAGAGAGAGAGGCAGAGAGACAGAGGCAGAGAGAGAGGCAGAGAGAGAGAGAGAGAGGCAGGGAAAGAGAGGCAGAGACAGAGAGAGGGCAGAGAGAGAGAGAGAGACAGAGAGAGCAGAGAGAGCAGAGAGAGCAGAGAGAGAGAGGCAGCTCAGTCACACTTAAATCCAGATTCGTCCTCACCGAGTCCCACCACCAAGGGAGCGCCAGCAAGGAGATGCACATATGGGGATCCCCACGCAGTGAATAATTACTGTGCGTCTTGACTGCAGGGTACCGACGGCCGACAAGGCCGAGGGAACAGACAGGGCAGGGAGCCTGGAAGCTCGAGCCTCGCTTCCGGAATCTGGACCCACGATCCTCGGTGCTCGAGCGCAGAATCTGGGGAAACCCAAAAGTACCGATACCGCTATACCCCTCCGGACGTCTCCCGGGGTGCATTCTGGCCAGAACTTCGAGGCGAAGCCAGCGGTGGCGACGAGGGCCTCCCAGGTGGTCCAAAATATAGGAAAACGGCCGAAGGCTAGAGGTACCCATCGGTCGGAAGAAGTAGGTAGAAACATGAAGTAGGAAGGCGTTGAAAGCAGATTGGGTGTCCGCTCGCCCCCTACGGAGGACGGAACAGGTGAAGCCACTCGATCATGGAAGCAGGAAGGCGCTCAAAGCAGACTGGAACCTGGGAATCCACAAATATCAACTTTCAACGGCCGATGGGTAAGGGTACCTTCTCCTCCCCGGACCTCTCCCGGGGTTCCCAAAAATAAGGGAAAACGAAGGAAGGCTAATTAGAGGTATGGGTACCCAGACTTGCGACGACCTGATTTTCGCAGGACGGCGTCCCCTGAAGTCCCGACCCTTTCCCTCCCCGGGACGGGCTTTTCATCCCGACCAGTTCTGTTGACGGCCCTGGGGCCCGGCGAGGGCCCCGAGAGGCCGAACATAGCAAACAGCTTCCCGTCGTGGTGTCTTTCGGCGCCACCACGTCTGGGCAACTACCCTCGCCTCCCCCGAGCATCCGCCCGCAGACGGGGCCCGGAGGCACGGTGGCGGGGCCTTTGGCGCCTCCCGCGGACGACCTCCCAGGCCGGCCTCGGCAGCCTCGCCCGGGGCGGCGCCCGCACCGCGCGCGCCCTGGGCACCTTCTGCGGGCCCCAAGAACATACGCCACCCCCACCACCTCCACTCCTCCTCCCTCCTCCTCCCTCCTCCTCCCTCCTCCTCCTCCTCCTCCTCCTCCTTACTCCTCCTCCTTCCTCCTCCACCTCCTGCTCCTCCTCCTCCTCCTCCTCCGCTCCCTCCTCCTCCTCCTCCTCCTCCTCTCCTCCTTCTCCTCCTCCCTCCTCCCTCTCCCCCTCCCTCCCCTCCTCCTCCCCCTCCCTCCTCCTCCTCCCTCCTCCCTCCTCCCTCCCCCTCCTCCCTCCTCCTCCATCCTCCCTCCTCCCTCCTCCCTCCTCCTCCCTCCTCCTCCCTCTCCTCCCTCCTCCCTCCTCCTCCCTCCTCCTCCCTCCTCTTCCTCTCCCTCTCTCGTGGGGGAGGGATGGGGCCGAGGGAAGCGGTGCTGGTGTGTACTTCCTATAGCCCCGTACCTCCCGCGACGCGGGGGCCACGAGGGGTCACTCGAGGGCGCGGCGGGCACGCCGGGGCGAACGCCCAAGCGGGGACGCACAACGACATGATATAGCAGTATACTCCAGATTTCGTAATAAAGGGAGGGGGGTCTCATTTCGGGGGGGGTCTCTTCCAGGCTATCTTGGAGGGCCTGGGGGGGTCTGGGGACGATGTTCTGGAGGGTTCTCCCACGGGGGAGGTCTGAGATGGCTTGTCTTGGAGGGTCAAGACCCCCTCCCTTTTATTACGAAATCTGGGGTACGCTCTCTGGGAGGCCTGCGTCCGGCCCGGACATGTGTGGCTGCACTGGCCCTGCAGGCGTGCTGCCGCGGAGTTCTGCGCGGATGTCTGCCCGGAGCGGCGAGCGAAGAACGAAGCGGATTTCGCGTGGATGTTTGTGGGGGGTCTTCCCTCCTGGCCAACATAACTCCGCGCGAAACTCATCTCGAAATCCGGAACGAAACTCTCCAGGACCCCCCAGGCCCACCCTGTCGTTTTCCGAACCGAATCCGCTCTGCGATGTGGGCGCCATGAAACGTGTATGTAGTCTTAAGTCGGGCGTGTCCCCCTACGGGGGGATGTTGGACGAAAAATAAAAAATACTCAGACTTTTGTTTTACATGTGTTTGCTATTTTTGAATACTCCCCCTGTAGAGGGACAGGCCCGATATACCCATCTTGTAGTATGCCGCTGCCCGAGTCGCGTGGCCAGAAAGCGCTCGCCGCGACGCGTGTACTATACGATTTCTCGGTGCGCGCGTCGCCCCATGGGGGGGCAGCGCGCACACAGTAGTTGTATGTCGGGGTGACGCCGAGCCCAGGGGCACACAAAGAAGTACACACACACACACACAAATCCAGGATGCTCCATATTTTCCCATCTTTTCTGAGCTTTCGTCTTCCCCCCCCCTCCTTCCCATATGTTCCCACATCTTTTCCTGGGAGCCGACGGTGAATTTTGTCTGCGTGGTTCCTCACCTCCTTCGGGGATGGACAGACCTCCCTTTAGTAAAACGTGGTTTAGTGAAAAAGACCTGAGGCCCAAACCTGGCGGGCGCAAGCCTGGAAAATCACGGCCGTGGCGCCCTCTCGAGAACCGAAAACGGACAATTCACGAATCGACGTGTCACTGTGGGGGGGTCCGTCCACCCCCGACCCCTGAAGAGCCCTGGCACCCTCGCGCCGTGGAACAAAAATCGAGACTTTGGACGCCCGAAATGGGCACGGAAACAATGGGCACAATGCCCAACAGCTAATGTTGTCCCGAACCAACACCGGCCGCTGTTGGGCAGGCGGCCTTCTGTCTCAAATGGACACAGGCTGCGGCGGCGCGGACAGCGAGTCCTGTTCAAAATGAACCAGAACTGCTGTTGGGCATCGTGCCCATTCTTTCCGTGCCCATCTCGTTCGTGCAGAGAGACGGCAGGCGGGCGGTGGTGCTCTCCGGAGGCTGGCAAGCCGCGGAGAACTCTCCGGCGGGCGTGCCTCCTCGCCGAGAGCACTCCCGGGGGCCTGGCACGCATCGCCCCGGAGGGTCGCCCGAGACCCGAGCGGGGACCCAGAAATCATGTCGGGCCTGTCCCCCTACAGGGGGATTGTCTACGAACAATAAGAAAAATGTCCCCCAAAATAATCAACAAGCAAAATTTTTTTAAAAGTCTGGGGGCTATTTTTTGAATGCCTTTTGGCCTTTGGGGGCATCTTGGGGGTATTTTCTATTTGTCGACGAAAATCCCCCTGTAGGGGGACGCGCCCGATTTAACCCCAAAACCAAAGCTCCTCGCGCCGCGGATAACTCACGACGACCTGCTTGTTCCCGCTTCCGGCGGCCAAGGGCCCTTTCAAGGAGCCCAGGGACACACACGAGTAGACAGACACGGCTCCCAGGACCTCCGATGTCTCCCAATCTTCTCTGGGTTTCCGTCTTCCCCCCTCCACTTCCCATACTTTCTCGCATGTTCCTGGGAGTCGACGATTGACTGTGTCTGTATGTTTTTTCCCCTCCTGGCCCTTGCCGGGCCCCAGGAGCGTCAAAAATCTGCCCAGGCTGACTCGCACCCGGGAGGAAGGAGGCCCAGGCCTCAGGGCTCCACGTCGGGGGAAAGAATCTCTCTGAGGCGAGTGCGTGCCGCGTCGACGCCGGGGATCGTTCCACATTGAACGGTCGGTCGTGTCTGACACGTCAGACCGATCGGCATCGACCGACTCGGGATCGCCGGCGGCGCTCAACGCCGAACAACGGCGATGGGGTCGCCGCCGGTCGACGCGACGCGAGCCTCCTGCATGCTGGATGCCCGGGGAGCGGGCGCTCACCGAGCTGGCCCAGCAGGCGGCCGCTCGCGCTCTCCGGGGGCACGCGCAGCGTGCTCGCGGTGGCGCTGCAGCCGAGAGCAGGATCAACAGGAATAGCAAGCCCCAAAATATACACCACCACCACCTCCCTCCCCCCCTCCCTCTCGCTGGAAAGAGGCGAGAGGAGGAATCGACGTGGTGGTGGTGTGTATTCTTTGGACCCCCAAAGAATACGGCTGGGCTGCTGAGAGAAGGAACGCTGAAGAAGGAACGAGGCCCCGCATTGGCCCTGTGAGCGCCTCCGCGCCTCCGGAGGAGCCTGGGGAGCATCGAGAGCCCCTTCCGAGCCCGGACTGCTCCTTACCTCAGCGTCTTGACTGCATCACTCGAGAGATCTGGCCCCGCCTCCCACGAGCCTCTCGAGAAGACGAGCCTGGGCCGAGCCCTGCCTTCAGGCACCCGAGAGGGGCCGGCGAGCTCCCGAGGCCGGGCCCGCGTGCCGGCACGCCGGCCGAGCGACGCTGGCCGAGCTTCTCGGGAGGAGGCTTCTCTCTCGGATGCTCGACTGTAGGCCGCCCAGCTTTACGTCGGGCCCGTCCCTCTACAGGAGGAGCACAGAAGAGATGGCCAAGAACATGGTCTGGGGACTACGTCTTTGAGCATCTGTTTTTTGACCATTTGGGAGCACGCCTGGGGCATGTCTTACTGCTCCCGTCGAAAATAATCCCCCTGTAGGGGGGCACGCCCGACCCAAACCTCGCTTCGCGCCTCGCGCCCGCGATGCACGACGCGCGGTCGCCTTCGCGCCCTCGCGCCCTCGCGCCGACCACCCTTGGGGGAGGGCAGCTGCTCTGCCCCTGACCGCGACGGCCGAGGCGTGGCCACCGCTGCCCCCCGGGGGCGGCCTCCAGGACGAGGCCAGGGCGAGGATACAGAATCGGGCGAGGATGAATCCTCTTTCCTCCTCCTCCTCCTCCTCCTCCTCCTCCTCTTTCCTCTTTCCTCCTTCCTCTTTCCTCCTCCTCGTTCCTCACTCTCCTTCCTGCAGCCCTCCCTCCTCCCCCTCTCAGAGGCGTGGTCTTCGTGAGAAGGAGCGCAGGACGAAGCCAGGGCGAGGATTAACTTGGGTGAGGACAGATCGAGAATCTCTGAGATCCAGCGGCTCTGGAGGATGTCTCGGGCGCCGCGGCCTTCTCACAGCGTCCCGGAGCGCTCCTGAGAGCGCTCCGGAACGCTCTGGAGCGGAGTGATCCTCGTCCGAGCCCCGTCTGAGCCTGGTGATGTCTCGGTCGGCGCTCTTCCTCACCCCCGTTGGTTGAAGGGGCCCTAGGACACACAAACAAATACACACAAATAAAAAGATTCCCCATATTTCCCCATATTTTCTGGGTTTCTGTCTTCCCCCCCAGTTCCCATATTTTTTCTGGGGGATCAACGATTAATTGTCTGTGTGTTTGTTTTCCTCCTGACTCACCCCCGTTGGTGGCCGAACGCTTGCCGATCCAATGCGCCAATGTAGACTGGCATGCGCGTCTGCGCTTGGCGCACAGGAAGAATTCTCGCATCACCAGAAGAGCACAAAACGGTCAGCACGCCGGGTACAGGCTGGCACGATAGCTGTTTCCGGGAAATGGGCGCGCCCGCCCCGTCGAGAAGCCAGGAGGCCCAGAGTCATCTCAAACGATTGATTGCCCAGGTCTCAAACACTATTGTTCGCCAGTGGCCACTTTGCCTCATATAGATTTGCCTTTTATGGGGTCCCTCTTACTGTCAGGAACTGGGTCTATCTCGGGCATTTCTTCGCTGGTGGCTGCTTGACAGCCCATGGCCTCCTGTGGCTTGCCCTCCTATGGTTTCCCTTTGGCTGTCAGGAGCTGGGTTTGTCTGAAACAGTATTTCGCTGGTGGTTCATTGAATTCAGGTCGCGTCTTATAGTTTTCTCCTCTATGGTAGCGAGATTGCTTCCCGTCCAAGTGCCCCGTTTTTCGTCTTTTCTTTCTGTCGTGGTTGCCTACGGATTGGCTTGATGTGGCTTCCCCGCCCGCTGGCCCTCCTGGTTCCACACATTGGGTTCGCAAGGAGTCCTAACTAGGTGGGCCTGCCTTTGGCGCACAAAATCTCGTGAGATCCGCGCACGTTCCACAAGACAGCAGCACCTTCTACCATGTAGGAGAACAAACGGACCGTGTCCCCATCCACGCAGGCGGCGACGGCATTGGCGGCTTCGTCGAAATCGTCTCCGAGCGCAACCACCGGCAGAGTGAGCCCGAACATCTCCTCAGGAATGGGGCTAAGATGGGAGCAGGACCGGAAGTGGCATGGCATGAGGAGTGGAAGAAAACGATGAGGACGAGAGCGAAGACGCCGATGATCAGGCAGAGAGCATCTGGGCCAAAAGCGGACTGACCACGCGCTGGTCTCGCGGCAAGCCTGCTAAATACGCATACGCACACACACACACACACACGAACGCGCACCCGCACACACACACACATACACACACACTCACACACACACATATATATACATGTATATATACGCACGCACACACACACAAACAAACAAACACACATACGCACGCACGCACGCACGCACGCACGCACACACACACGCACTCCTCCTCCTCCTCCTCCTGCGCCTCCTGCTCATACTCCTCCTCCTCCTCCTCCTCCTCCTCCTCCTCCATCTCCCTGCCTCCTTTTCCTCCTCCTTTTCATACTCCTCCTCATCCTCATCCTCCTCCTCATCCTCCTCATCAGCAGCAGTAGCTGCGTTATCATCATCATACTAATCAACATCATCATCATCATCATCATCATCATCATCATCATCATCATCATCATCATCATCATAATCATCGTCATCATCATCATCATCATCATCATCATCATCATTATCAGCATCATCATCAGCATCATCATCTGCATCACCATCATCATAAACTTCTTCACCCCCATCATCATTATAATCAGTATCACCAGCATCAGCACCATCATCAGTAGCATCATCATCATCATCAACATCATCATAGCATCATCGTCATCATGATCAGCATCATCATCTTCAGCATGATCAGTATCAGCATCATCAGCACCAGCATCAGCAGCATCGGTATCATCATCATCGTCATCATCAGCAGCATCATCGCCATCTGCAAAATCATCAGGATCATGATCAGCATAACCATCACCAGCAAATCATCATCATCATCATCATCATCATCATCAGCATCATCATCATCATCATCATCATCAGCAGCATCATCATCAGCATCATCAGCATCAGCATCATCATAGTCATCATTAGCATCAGCATCAGCAGCAGCATCATCAGCAGCATCATTATCATCATCAGCAGCATCATCAGCATCATCAGCACCAGCATCAATAACAGCATCGTCGTCATGATCAGTATCATGAGCATCATCAGCATTAGCAGCATCGTCATCATGAGCATCAGCAGCATCAGCATCAGCATCATCATCAGCATCATCGTCATAATTAGCATCATCAGCATCAGCAGTATCAGCATCAGCATTGTCATCATCATCATCTTCATCATCATCCACATCAGCATCATCAGCATCATCAGCATCGTCGTCATCAGCATCATCAGTGTCGCCATCATCATCACCGTCAGCATCATCAGTGCCATCAGCATTGTCATCACGAGCAGCATCATCATCAATATCATCATCATCATCATCATCATCCTCATCATCCTTCTCATCATCAGCAGCATCATCAGCATCATCATCACCATCAGCATCCTCATCATCATCAGCAGCATCAGTATCGTCGTCATCATCGTCATCATCGCCATCATGATCATAATCGCCAGCGTCACCATCATCATCATGACCCTCATCATCAGCAGACGCATCATCGTCAGCATCATCATTACCATCAGCATCCTCACCAACAGCATCATCATCAGCATCAGCATCAGCATCTGCATCTGCATCATTGTCAGCAACGTCAGCATCATCAGCAGTACCATCATCATCATCATCATCATCATCAACAACAACAACAGCATCAGTATCAGCCTCAGCATCAGCATCAGCATCAGCATCATCAACCTCATCATCAGCATCATCATCAACACCAACATCGCCATCATCAGTAGCAGCATCACCATCAAGAATATCATCAGTTTCATCATCATCAGCATCATCACCGTCATCATCATCATCATCATCATCAGCAGCATCGTAATTGACATCAGCATCGTCATCATCAACATCATCATCAGCGTATTCATCATCAGCATCATCATCAGCATCATCATTACCTGCAGCACCATCATCACCATCAGTATCCTCATCATCATCGGCATTATCATCATTAGCATCAGCATCAGCATTAATATCATCATAAACATTGTCATCACCATCAGCATGAACCACATAAGCATCATCATCCTCATTGTCATCATCATCAACATTGGCATCAGTATCATCAGTATCATCATCATCATCATCAGCAGCAGCAGCACGATCATCATCATCATGATCATCAGCATCATCATCACCATACTCATCATCATCATCATCATCATCATCATCATCATCATCATCATCATCATCATCATCGTCATCATCAATATCATCATCATCATCATCATCATCATCGTCATCATCGTCATCATCGTCATCCTCCTCCACCTCCTCCGCCTCCTCCTCCTTCTCCTCATCCTCCTCCACCTCCTCCTCCCCGCGATGTCCTCTGCCACGATGGCGCCGAGGGCGATGACCTCGTCTGAGCGGCGCAGCAGCACCGCCGCGGGCGCGCGCCCGCCCAGCAGCAGCTCCAGCAGCACCATGCTGCCCGTGCACGAGCCGCGGCTGCCGGGGATGGCCAGCACCTCGCGGCCCCCAGCGGCGGCACGACGACGACGACGACGACGACGACGACGAGGACGACGACGACGACGACGACGACGACGACGACGACGACGACGACGACGACCCACAGCCGCGGCACAGAGGCCGCGACCGTCTTTCGTTTTCCCCTTGGATGGGCCTCCTGGGAGGCCCTCGTCGCCACCGCTGGATTCGCGTCGAAATTCTGGTCAGAAAGCACCCTGGGAGCGGTCCGGGGAGTAGCGGTATCGGTACCATTTGGTCTCCCCACTCTTCCTCCTCCTCCTGCTCCTCCTCCTCAGAGGAGAAGGACGAGGAGGAGGAGGAGGACGACGACGACATCGCGGGGAGGAGGAGGGAGAAGAGGGAGAGGGGAGGAGGAGGAGGAGGAGGAGGAGGAGGAGGAGGAGGAGGAGGAGGAGGAGGAGGAGGAGGAGCATGGGGGAGGAGGAGGGAGGAGCACTATTGCAGATCGATCAGATTCCGAAGTCGCTCAGAAAGATGGGGTCTTCGGCTCTGGTCGTGATATTTCGCGATGCTGTTTTTTTTCGCCACGGGTCTTGGGCTCTGGTCGTGATGGCTCGCAACGTTTCGTTTTTCGCAACGTCGGATATCGGGAGAGGACGAGGAAGAGGAAGAGGAGGAGGAGGAGGAGGAGGAGGAGGAGGAGGAGAAGGAGGGGAAGGAGGAGAAGGAGGAGGAGAAGGAGAAGGAGGAGGAGAAGGAGGTGGAGGAGAAGGAGGATGAGGAGGCGGAGGAGGACGAGGCCAGGCATACCCAGCAGTGAAACGGTGGTAGCGCCGCCCGATCGACCCAACCCCTCCTCCGTGCCGAGGGCACTGCGGCGGCCAGCGGGGAGGCTCGGAGGTGGTGCTCGCCACTGTCAGCCCCGTGCAGTTCCGCTTCTAGACGATCGACGTTCTATGCACGTATACCCCTGCTCACGCCAGAACTCAGCAAGGGAGCAGTGGGGGGATGTGCTTGAAAATCCAGCCTCGGGAGGCCGAGCTTTTCGTCCATGCACTGCCCGCCCTGGCGGCCTCAGTTGGGGGCCGCAGGATGGGTATGGGTCGAACGGCGATCTCCGAGTGTCGGGCAACGGGGGCGTCGGACATCGATCCGAGCTGCACGGCAATGGCGGCCCTCCCCCGGGCCTTCTGGAGGCTTCTCGTCGGGACGGCCGCATCCGCCTCGAAAAGGAGCCAGGACGGACTGGGAGGGGTCCGGGCACCGATGTTGGGTGGAGTTGGCGTGGAACAATGTTTTCTCATTGTCCCATCAATCCTGTGCACATGGTGATGGGAAGCGCCAGCCTCCCCACTGAGGGAGAGGGGGGCTCCAGCGTGCGAGGCGCCAGCCATGGACGAGAACGAGGGCGACGAGGAGCAGCAGGAGGAGCGAAGAGCAGCGGGAGGATCTGTCACAGCAGACTGGTCAGGGTCACCCCGGAAGGTGTCCGGGGAACGATATGAAACAGATGCAAGCCTTGCGGCGTGCACAAGGGGGTACAGTCGGGGCGTTGACCTAAGGAACCCTAAATAAGGAACGGGGCCCCTTCCTCCCATAAGTTGAGCTTCGATTTCCCATGGAGAACCTCCGGAAAACAGAAGGCAAACTGCAGAACAATCAAGGAACACCGAGCCCCTCCCCAACGAAAAGGGTTCCTTCTTCAGGGCCCCGACTGTAGGGAGAGGGGGGAAGGCTTTTTAGAAGGAGACTGCTTCTTAGAAGGAGGCGACAGACGAGGCCCGCGCCTTCCAAGAAGCAGGGGTGCTTCTAAGAGGCCTTCCCCCCTCCCCCATACACCCCTCTGCGTGGCCGAAAGCCCCTGCTGAGGGCATTGATGCAATGAAGGGCCGCCTCCTTCTAGGAAGCAGGGGTGCTTCTAAGAGGCCTTCCCCCCTCCCCCATACCCCCCTCTGCGCGTGGCCGAAGGCCCCCGCTGAGGGCACTGGTACACCACCACCGTGCGTCGCCAGGGCCATCCTGGGCCCTGGCACAGTCGGACCTCGGCCCGAAGAACATCCCTCAAGAACATGAGACCCCTCGTCGCCCAAGACAAACAAAACATCCAAGGGCACCCTCCCCAGGATGCACAAGAGCACTCAACAAACACGCAGAACACGAGGGCACCCTCCCCGAACGACCTCGAGCTGACACCTCGGTCCGACCGTACGACGGGCTCGTGTCGCGATAACGTCGCCGTTGGTCTCCCGAGAGCCCGCGGATCGCTCCACCTTGAACGATCGCCGCCTCCCGACAGCGCAGATCGTTCGATATCGGACGGCTCCACGCCACCGGCGGCGCTCAACCTTGAACGCCCGTGCCGGGGTGGTCGCCGCCGCGTCAACGCGGCGGGACAGCGGGAGGTAAGAAACAAATCCCGGTTCAAACGCAACCGCCCTTGGGCATTCAAGATCGGATTGGCGGTCGTTCCATGCACAGGAGGGCAGGAGGAGGAGGAGGAGGAGGACGACGACGAAGGAGGAGGAGGAGGACGAAGGAAGAGGAGGAGGAGGAGGAGGAGGAGGACGAAGAGGAAGAGGAGGAAGTGGAGGAGGAGGAGGAGGAGGGAGGAGAAGGAGGAGGAGGAGGAGGAGGGGCTTGCTTGCTTGCTCAAAGCTGTTGGGCGATGTATCGATTGACTACTACGCTCACGAGAGGGGGGAGGAGGAGGAGGAGGAGGAGGAGGAGGAGGAGGAGGAGGAGGAGGAGGAGGAGGAGGAGGAGGAGGAGGCGGAGGAGGAGGAGGAGGAGGAGGAGGAGGAGGAGGAGGAGGAGGAGGAGGAGGAGGAGGAGGAGTGGAAAGGGAACCCGCCGTGCAGTCCTCGTGCTGCCAAAGAGGGGCTTGTCTGACCACGGCCCGACGGCGTGGTGATCTCGCCCCCCTGCTGGCCGAGGGGCCGCGGAGGTCGAGAGCACCACCCTGGGGCCCAGGGCGGCCCAGGCCAGGCGCGGTGGCGTCGGGGTGCCACCTGCAGGCTCTGCCCGCTCCCCGCGTCCTCTCTACGGCCAGCCCGTACAACAAGGGTTTGTCTTCGACGTCAATGACGGACGACAGCCCGCACCCGTAGCCACAGCCAGTCCTCCTCCCTCCGACCCTTCTGTGGGCATGGGTGTGTGTGCTGCTCGCTCGTCAATCAACGGCCAAGGACCCCATTGAATGGGGCAAGAAGCGGAGAGATCGACTGGGAGGAGGAGGAGGAGGAGGAGGAGGAGGAGGAGGAGGAGGAGAAGGAGGAGGAGGAGGAGGGAGGAGGAGGAGAGAGGGACGAAGGAGGAGGAGGAGGAGGGAGGAGGAGGAGGAGGAGGAGGAGGAGGAGGAGGAGGAGGAGGAGGAGGAGGAGGAGGAGGAGGAGTGGAAAGGGAACCCGCCGTGCAGTCCTCGTGCTGCCAAAGAGGGGCTTGTCTGGCCACGGCCCGACGGTGTGGTGCTCTCGCCCCCCTGCTGGCCGAGGGGCCGCAGGGGTCGAGAGCACCACCCTGGGGCCCAGGGCGGCCCAGGCCAGGCGCGGTGGCGTCGGGGTGCCACCTGCGGGCTCTGCCCGCTCCCCGCGCCCTCTCTACGGCCAGCCCGTACAACAAGGATTTGTCTTCGACATCAATGACGAACGACAGCCCGCACCCGTATCCACAGCCAGTCCTCCTCCCTTCGACCCTCCTGTGGGCATGGGTGTGTGCTGCCCGCTCGTCAATCAACGGCCAAGGACCCCATTGGATGGGGCAAGAAGCGAAGAGATCGACTTGGAGGAGGAGGAGGAGGAGGAGGAGGAGGAGGAGGAGGAGGAGGACGACGACGACGACGACGAGGAGGACGAAGGAGGAGGAGGAGGAGGAGGAGAAGAGGACGAAGGAAGAGGAGGAGGAGGAGGGGAGGAGGAGGAGGAGGAGGAGGAGGTGTGACCCCGACCATCGCGGGGTGGAGTCCCTTGCCGAGCGCCCTCCAGAAAGGCAGACTTGCGGCACGGCGAGGGGAGCGCAACGCCTGCCCAGCCTGTCCTAACGAGCCCCCGACGTGAGGACACGGAAGGAATACCGTCGAGCTACTGCCAGGCGCATCTAGAGGAAGAGGAGGAGGAGGAGGAGGAGGAGGAGAAGGAGGAGGAGGAGGAGGAGGGGGGAGGAGGAGGATCATGAGGAGGAGGAGGAGGAGGAGGAGGAGGAGGAGGAGGACGAAGAGGAGGAAGAAGAAGAAGAAAGATGAGAAGCACAAGAGTCGGGAGGCCCGCGCAGGTCTCCTGGATCTGCGCTGGACCGTCCCCCCCCCTCCCCCTGGCGCGCGGAGGGGATCTCAACGCCGATCAAAGGAACCCGCGCGGAGTGCCGAAAGTTTATGTTCATGCCGCGTTTCGCCTCCGAGTACAGCCAGCCCGTAGAATGAGGACGCACGATATACGGATGCAAGGGCCTTGGAAGCCTACGTCGACGCTCTGCGAGCGGGGCGCGGCCAGCGAAACCGGCCAAGGCTGAGCCGAATGGGGCAGGATGCAAGGGCAGCAGTGGAAAGTTGCTCATCCTCACTGTGCGGGTTGACTGTGCCCTCTTCGCCCCCATCATCCCCCCTCCACCGACGACGCATTTGTTTCGCGACGTAAGCCGCCAGTGATCTCGATCACTTACCTAAGACCGGTTTGTCATCCCGAGCCGCTTCTTGACGGCCCCGAAGCCCGGAGACGGCCTCCAGAGGCCCGAGACGTCCCAAAACCGGCCGTCGCGGCTTTCTGGCATCGCCTGGATCTGAGATCCCGCAGAGCCTTCCCCGCCCCTGCCCCTCTCCTTCCCCCTCATCACGTGCGTGCGCCTGCTGCTACTTCTCCCGCGCCCATCTCGGTGCGTGCAAACACGCGACTGGATGACGAGCATGGAATTCTGCGACAGAGGTGAGCAGCTCAGGGGCGCAGTCTGCGCATCACTGAGGCCATCTACTTTCACACATCGCACACCGCGATGCGCGACGCGCGGCCATCTTGGTGCCCTCGTGCCACCCCCTGGAGAAGGACAGCCCAGCGGCCCTGGCCGCGACGCACAAAACGCGCGCCTCTGGGGGTGACCTGGCTCGCGGGACTTGAAGCGCACCGCGCTACTGACCAATGGTCGAAAGCGAGTGCGTGCAATGCCTCCCCGTAGCTCCCCGCCTTTGCCGCAACCTCCGAAAGAACTGGAGCGGGGAACCTTCCCGCACAGCCGGGTCCCGCTGAGCGGGTGGTGGCGGTCGATCACCTCGCCCGTGGCGGGGTCGACGCCGCCCCAGAAGCTCAGCGGCACGTCGGCGTGCACCAGCGCCCCCGCACCAGCGCCCCGCATAACGGCATTGCCGCGCACCAGCGGCGTCATCCCTGGCCAACTCGCGCGCAGGCCAGGCATTGCCAAGGAGGTTCACCACTGAGGAGGCCGCCACCTCCTCCACGAAACGGGCACCCCTGGACCCCAGAATACCCCAGGGCTTCCGAAGACGCCCGACAACGTCCCAAATGTTCTCGATTCTCAAACCTCCCTCCTCCTCCTCCTCCTTCTCCTCCTCCTCCTCCTCCTCCTCCTCCTCCTCCTTCTCACCCCTCGATCCTCGATCCTCCCTACTCCTCCTGCATCCTCGACCCTCAGCCCCCCCTCCTCGATCCTCGACCCTCCCCCCTCCCTCCTCGACCCGAGGCCCTCGGCCCGCGCACTCTCAGGAGGTGGCGGTCCCCCTGCCGGTGACCCCCGCCCCCTGGCACTGCCTGGCTCGAGGCCCAGGGTTATGTTACATCCTCGGGAGACCTTGTCTGCCCTGTCGCGGCCCTATCCGTGTCGAATCCGTGTCGAATCCATGTCGGCCTCGTCGGATCCGCGTCGAATCCGTGCCGAATCCGCGTCGAAGCCACGCCAAATCCGCGTCGAGGCCGCATCGAGCCCGCGTCGGGCACCAGAAAAGACACCAATTTGGGGGACAGGCGAGGTCCCTCGAAGATGCCGCGTAACCAGTGGCGCCGCCACGCCTTGGGGGGGGGGGGGGATGCCAGGAGGGCCCGACCGGGGCTGGGCCGCTGGGCCCCGAGCGCCGGGCGTGGAGCGGGGGCGAGCGGGAGGACAAGTAGACTGCGACTGCGACCCGCACTGCGCACCCGGTACAGGTCGGGGCGTTGACCTAAGGAACCCTACATAAGGAACGAGGCCCCTTGTTCCCATCAGTGAAAGTTCGATTTCCCATCGAAAACCTGAGGAAAACCTAAGGCAAGCTGTGAAACAATCAAGGAGCACTCAGCCCCTCCTCAACGAAAAGGGTTCCTTCTTCAGCGGCCCGACTGTAGGTGCCGCGGGTTGGGGCCGAAGCGCCCACTACAGCTCAAGGCGCCTGATAAAAAATCTGATTCGAGGGCGCTCCATGCATCTCGTGTGGCACACCTCCGAAGTGGGTGAACAGTATCTCGCGCCTCACAGCTGTCTGCGAAAGGACAAGTAGGGCGACGAAATCTATATATATATATATATATATATATTATATATACACCACACCATATATATATATATATATATATATATATATATATAATATATATATATATATCGAATCGGGCGAAGGGGGGGGATAGCAAAGGGGGGGGGGGGGGGGGGGAGAATCAGCTCACGTGGCTGCTTTTCCCTGCGCCTCCCGGCGCCGGAGGCGGCCATGTATCAAGGAATGGGCCCCTCGGTGGGGCCGAAACCAGCTGCATGCAGCAAATTTCGCACCCCGCCCTTTCCCAATCCCCCCTTTAGTCCGGCCCGAACGTATCCCATGTTCCCCGGCCAGGCCCACCCTGAATCCAGCAGCGGCGCCTGCGCCACGCCCCCCTGGCTTGGCCAGGAGGGCGCATACACGGCTCCTGCTTTCAGGATGGGCACGGCCAGGGAGCAGTGGGTATGTCTGGAGCCCGTCGCCCGCACAAGGGCGAGCGGGCGCAGCAGGCGCACCCCGCAAGAAGATCTCTATGATCTCGCATCCGGCAGCACCGCACTCGCACCCCAGCGAGAACTCTCGGACGTTCCGCGCGACGCAGCTGCCAGTCACGCCCCGCTCTCGGAGCGTGCTCCCGCCACGGGCAGAGCAGCCTGGCAGAGCAGCCCGCCCCTCGACACACACATACACACACACACAAATGAAAAACGTTCAGAGATCTTGCCTTAAGTCGGGCACGTCCCCCTAGAGGGGGATTCGGGGCGAAAAATGTTATATTACAAAAAACTCCCAAAATGCTCAAACATAGTCGAAAAGTATTCCCCCGACTATTTTGTGACTATCTTTGAATACTCCTCCGGTAGAGGGACAGGCCCGACACAAGTCTTGCCACACGCATATCTAGGGGCGCAGCCTTCGTCGACTCTGAGCTCCGCGGGGTGTCACAGGCCTCCGCGGCCCCGCTCGGGAGGCACGACACTCTCGCGCACGTGTGGTGCGCCCCGTGCAGATGCTGGATTCGAGCGGGGGATCGGTTACAGAATCGAGTTACCCCAAAGCTGATTTTCACGACGACCTTTCGACCAAAAGAAGCAGCATGTTCGTAGATCGGCGAACGTTCTACGCCGCATGTTCCATGGATATGACGGGAATAAGCAGTTCTGGCGTACAACAAATTCCGTAGTCGATCCCCTACTCGATAGATGCTTTGATGGTTTACTCTGGAGACCGCCAGCCCCACTGCCTGCGCTCACGGGCATCGGGATGTGCACCATAATGACACTGATCAGACAACCACTAAATGCCATCCTCCCCCTGTCCATGCGTGAAATGGACCGGCAGACGTGCGAGAGTTCACGAATTGCGCCACATCTTTGGACTTGCCAGCGCGGGCGCAGAGCAGCTCCTCCTCGGCAATGCAGGCACACTTTTGCACAGCTTGCACTTCAACTCGTGCCTGGGGAACTCCTACCCCTTTCATCGCCTCAGCCGCCCCCCAAGTTTCCTTAATTGACGCACGCAACTCGGCCACTGTCGACAATACTGCGCAACTTCACGGGCTGGAATTCCGCTCGAATGGCCTCGGCGCTTCCCTGCAGCATCTTGGCGGCCCATGCCCGTGTCGCGTCCAGGTCACCCGTTGGCGCCACAACCCTCGGCTTGACCACGCTGCTACTTGGGGAGCTCTGGCGCTCTTGCCCGACAAAACCGATGACCGCCCTGCATTCGAGGAACAAGTAGTGGCATAAACAGAAACTTTCGGAGGTCCGCGCGGATTTCTTGCATCGGCGCTGGACCCCCCTCCCTGGCGCGTGCACAATCGCCCCGTAAAACAAGGACGCACGATAAGGATGCAGAGGCCTTGGAAACCCACGTCGACGCGCTGCGAGCGGGGCGCGGCCAGTGAAAGCAGCCAAGGATGCGCCGACGGGAAAGGATGCAAGGGCAACCTTGAAATGTAGCTCCTCCTTACTATGCGGGTTGACTGTAGTGCGCCAGGGGCGGCGTCGGAGGCGCCGCTTGGAGATTTCAGCCGCCCTGTTTCGAGGAACAAACAGTGGCATAAGCACAAACTCTCGGAGGTCCGCGCGGACTTCTTGGACCGGCGCCGGAGCCCCTTCCCTGGCACGTCTGGCGCGCCAGGGGCGGCGCCGCAGGTGCCGCCTGGGGATTCCACCGCTCCCCGCTGCAGAGCGCCGACTTCGCCCGCCCTCACTATGTGGCCACGGCTTCCCGCCGGAGCCCGACATGCTCAGGAGCGCGTTCGTGGCCGTCTTCGCGGGCGCCGACGACGACGGGAACGGCACCCCCCTGACCGAGGAGCAGAAGCAGGAAAGGCTCTGAGAGCCACGAGGGGAGACTGCCACTGGCGCCTCCGATGGGGCTCTCTATCGCACGCCGCCGACCGCCTGCCGCACGCCGCCGCCGACCGCCGCCCGCCGCTGCCTCCTCGACGCTGCCGCTGCTGGCACGCCGACCGCCACGGGCCGCCGAGCCGAGCGCCGACGCCGAGCGGCCCCGCACGGCCGCCGCCGCACACCGCCACCGAGCGCCGCCGCCGAACGCCCACGCCGGGTGGCGCCGAGCGGCCGCCGCGGAGCGCCGCCGCCGCTGCCCTCCGTCGACGCTGCCGCACGCCGCCGCCGGGGCGCTCTTCCGCTCCGGCCGCGGGGGCCGCGCGGCCGCGCCGGCGGGGCGCCGCGCCGCGGGCGCCGCCCCGCCGACGGCGCCGCGCCGCGCCGGCGGCTCGGCGCGGGAGCTCTGCGGGGGCGCCGCGGCGCAAGAGGCGCTCGTCGGCTGCACGCCATGAGGCGGCGAGCGAGGGGTGCGAGGGTGCTCGAGGTTCGAGGTTCGAGGCGGCTGTTCCGCGTGTTCGGCCTCTGGGGCCGTTTCGGGCCCCGGGGGCCCCCGAAACGCGGCGCGGGGCGAAAGCCGCTCGGATGGATCCCGGGAGGGGTCGTAACCGATTTGGGCTGGCATTCGGCGGCGCGCGCTGGGGGGTGAGTGAGAAGAAGAAAGCCTGCTCAGAAGGCGGCGGGGCTTCTCAGACGCCCTCGAGTCTCCTGAGAGATGTTCTGCGTCTTCGGGGAAGGCTTGGGCAGCTTCTCGGAAGGCCAGGGGGCTTCCGAGCCTTCTGAGAAGGCCTTCTCCCTTCGCACTTCCCCCCGGGGCTCACCGCCGACAACAAGAGTGGCAATACAGTCGAAACGCTCCCATAAGGAGCCCTACATCAGGAACGAGGCCTCTTCTTTCAATAAGTCAGGCTTCGATTCCTCATAGAAAAGCTAATGGAAAAAAACCTGAGACAAACTGAAAACCCATGAAGGAGCGCTGAGCCCCTCCCCAACGAAAAGGATTCCCTCTTCCGCGGCCCGACTGTAAGCAAGAGTGGCCTTTCCTGCGCGGCTTCTTACGGGGCCCCGAAGGGCCCAAGCACAGGCACGCGAGCCAGTACCGGGGCCACCCCTGTGGGCCCGCGAACAGAGGTCACTCCGGCGAAAGGCCACTCTGTGCGCGTGGCCAACAGGGGGGGAGAGAGCGGGGCGGGGACTTGTCCACACGTCCGCCGCCCGGGAGAACCGACGTCCGGGTGCCCCCGCGGGCGCTGGATGTGGAGACCGGTTGGCCCCTGGGGGCCCGACTCTACCCGTGTCCAGCGCCCGCGGAGGTCCCCGAAGATCGATCCCCCGGGCGGCGGATGGGGATGAACCCCTGCCTCGGAGAGGGGCGACTACAGTCGGGGCCTTGACCTAAGGAGCCCAAAATAAGGAGCGAGGCCCCTTTTTCCCACAAGTGAGCCTTCGATCTCCTGTCGAAAACATTATCCCAGTGCGACCCTACCTAGGAGTTGGAACCCCTAGGAAAGCAGCATTAGTAGTAACAGTAATGCTAAGCTAAAGCTAAGCTAAAGCTAAGCTAAAGCTAAGCCACAGCTAAGCTAAAGCTAAGCTAAAGCTGAGCAACAGCTAAGCTAAAGCTGAGCAACAGCTAAGCTAAAGCTAAGTTACAGCTAAGCTAAAGCTAAGCTAAAGCTGAGCAACAGCTAAGCTAAAGCTGAGAGCGAAAAGCTAAGCGAAACGCTAAGCTAAAGCTAAGCTACAGCTAAGCTAAAGCTAAGTTAAAGCTAAGCTAAAGCTAAAGCTAAAGCTAAAGCTAAAGCTCCCAGGGGACTGGGGGGAACCGCTCCCAGGGGACTGGGGGAACCGCCCGGGGCGCTTTCCACTGCCCGGCCCCTTTAAGCTAAGAGAGTAAGAACCCTTCTAGGCAGAGCCTAGGTAGGGAATAATAAGGAAAGCCTGAGGCAAGCTGCGAAACACTTAAGGAACGCGGAGCCCCTCCCCAACGAAAAGGGTTCCTTCCTCAGGGCCCCGACTGTCGCGGAGGAGGAGGCCTCGAGGCCCCCACAGCAGCAGCGACGGGCCGGCGCGCCAGCAGGGCCACGCCCCGCCACGCGAGGGGGGCTGCAGGTGGCCTCCAAGGGCACCCCCTCGCGAGCCCCCCAGGGGCCACAGCACGGCGCGAGAGGCTGGGGACACCTTCTGCCAGGACCACTCCTGGCAGCACCCCATCCTCCACGGCCTCCTCCGCCGAGTTCCTCCCCCCCATTCGCGCCGCTCTCGCGACCGATGTTCCGGCCTCGGGAGCTCGGCCCGTCGTCTTTCTGCAGTCGAGCCGCTGAAGAAGGATCCCTTTTCGTTGGGGAGGGGCTCTGGGTTCCTTAACCATTTTACAGTTTGTCCTAGGTGCTCCTCAGGCTTTCTATGGGAAGTCGAGGCTTCACGCATGGGAAAGAAAGGGGGCCTCGCTCCTCTTCTGGGGTTCCTTCTGCCAGCGCTTCGACTGTAGCAACACCCGATCATCCACAGGCTCCTCCGCTGCTTCCCCCCCCCCCACCCCTCGCACCGCTCTCACGACCGATTCCGGCCTCGGGAGGAGGAGGAGGAGGAGGAGGAGGAGAATGGAGGAGGAGGAGGAGGAGGAGGAGCAGCAGCAGCAGCAGCAGCAGCAGCAGCAGCAGGAGGAGATCGGCCCATCGCCTCTGCACGGTGGGCCGTGACCTCGAGAGCGCTGGGCCAAGTCGGGCCGGGGATGCCTCTGGCAGCATCCACAGTGAGGAGGAGGCAAGATCGGTCTGCGTCGAGTCAGGAAGCCGGATCGAAGCAGAACGTGGGTCGGATCGGGTGGCATCGGCACGGAGCCGAGCTCGGATCGCGCCTGGCTGCACAGCAGCGCTGTGCGAGCCTCGGCCCTCCTCGGATCGTCGGAGAACTGGAATCGAACCACATCGGGCCAGCAAGAACCGACATCGAGCCAGATCGATCGGATCGAAATGTGCCTAGGTGGACAAGGAGGAGGAGGACCATAGAAAACTCAAGAGGTATCAAAACTCTGCAATACATCCTCCTGTCCCAACTCTCCTCCTCACCAGTCCCTACATGCCTGCCTCCTTCTACACTGAGGGAAGCGGCCCCTTGAAGACGAGCGCCCCGCGAGCCCCCAATTCAGAAGCGAACCCCGCTTTGAAAAGGAACTGCCCAACTGCCTTCCAGCTGAAGAACGACGAGGAGGAGGAGGAGGAGGAGGAGGAAGAAGTGCGACGAGCTGGGATCGGAAAGCTCAAGGAAGCGTACAGCGACAGTCCCGCTTTCACAAGGAACGGGCCTCGGTTCATGCAATCGTTGCGCACTGTTCCGAGTGAGGCCATAAGATCGAATGAAACCTCAGGGATGACCACCCTCCACTCGTGTAACTGCTGCAAAATTGCAAAACTTCTGGGTCAAAATGTTGAGGAAGTCTCCAGCGAGAGACCCATTTTGAAAACTACCCGACCTCCATCCGCATAGGTGCTGGAGCGTTTCACGACGAGTATGCGCGGCTGGAAGGCGAGATACACATGTTGAAAGACCGCCCGCCCTGCATCCGTGTAAATTGTGGCTGCTTCACGCGAGTGTGTGTGTGGCGCCAAGACGATAGCCCCATGTGAAAACCATCCACCCACCTTCCGTGCAACGGTTGGAAGCGTCAAAGTTCAAAACCGCGAATGGTGGTGAGGAAGTCTTAGGCGAGACGCCTGGCCCGCACTACCGACGCGTCTAGTGGTGCGGCAGGGAGGAGCTGTGTCCAAGAAAAACGAACCGAAGAGGAGGAAGAGGCGGAGAAGAAACATCACACGACCTAATTAGGAGGTCACCGAAAGGTCCGCCCGAAAACGACGAAAATGTAAAAACATGTTCAGTTCACGGCGGCATTGAATATGTGGTAGGGTCATCACACGAACTCCTCCTCCTCCTCCTCCTCCTCCTCCTCCTCCTCCACCTCCTCCTCCTCCTCTTCCTCCCCCTCCTGATCCTACTCCTGATCCTACTCCTGATCCTCCTCCTCCTCCTCCTCCTCCTCCTCCTCCTCGCCCTTCTCCTCCTCCTTTTTTTTCTGGGGAATCGACGATTAATTGTGTCTGTGTATTTTTTCTCCTCCTGACAGGAGGTCTGAGCTGGTTGGGGCCTCAGAGAGTCGGCCAGGAGGCGGAGATCAACGCCAAATCCACTCAGAATCGATCCTCCCCAGGCCCCTCCCGGGGTCAACCTACTGCAACTTTTCACCTCAGATCCATGTTTCACGGCCCCGTGGCCCGAAAACGGCCCCCCGAGGCCGAGCAACAAAAAACAACGCCCCGAACCCAGAACCTCTGGCCTGCCCGCCTCTCCCGCTGGCTGGAACCAGTGCTGGGCCACCTCAGACCCCCAGACGGCTCCAAACCTCCGGACCCTTGACAAAACAGTCTCTAATCCATGCCTGCGCTTCCTCGATCTGCTACACGCAAGAGGGACCCTAGGTAAGAGTACCCTTCGGTGCGTGGCTTTTTGGGGGCCGCGGGGGGACCAACACACTAGCGCGCAAGACGCTACCATCGCATCTCGCTTGTTTCGCAAACAGGGGGGAACCCAGTGGGCCCGCACCAAAAGTCACTCCAGCGAGTAGCCACTCTTACGCGTAGCCGATGCGCTTCCTCGAGCGGAGCCCGAAGGACAGACCCCTCGAGGCCCGCCCCCCTCGCAGAGTATCGTTTAACCGATCCCCATCCCCAGCGGCGTGGCCTGGGCCCCGCTGGCCGATTCACCCCCCAAGATGGGGATATAGGTCGTTCTCTTCGGGTTGCCGAGGGGTGTATCCCCAGTTGGGTTGGTAATGTGGTGGGGGGCTCGAAGGGGATGCAGATGGGGATGGGGATCGGTGAAACAATACCAACCCGCAGCGCGCCGGCTGGGTGCGCACACCGCCGGCGCGCCCGCGCCCGCCGCCAGCACGCGGCGGCCACGGCCGCCCCCGAGCGCGGCGACCGCGCGCTACGCCTCGGGAGGCGCCGCCCTCCCCGCGGGAGATTATCTGTCATGTCTATAGATGTGTAAGTATAGATGTGTGTAAATGTATATGTATGTATGTATGTATGTACGTATGTATGTATGCATGCATGTATGCATGTATGTATGTGTGGATGTACGTACATATATATATATATATAGTTGTATATATATATATGTATATATATATATATGCATGTACGCGTGAATGAATGTATGGATGTACGTACGTATGCATGTATGTATGTATGTATGTATGTATGGTTGCATGTACGGTTGTATGTGTGCATGTATGTATGTATGTATGTATGTATGTTTGCATGTAGGTAGGTAGGTAGGTAGGTATATATATGTGTGTGTATGCATGTATGTGTGTATGGATGGACGCACGTATGTGCGTGAGTGAGTATATGTGCATGTATGTATGTATGTAGCATGAATATTGTATGTATATGTGTGTATGTGTACGGATGTGTGTATGGATAGACGCATGTACGTAAGTGAGTATGTATAGGTGTGCATGTATGTATGTGTGTAGAGATGTATGTATGCGTATGTATGTGCATGCGTGTATGTGTGTATGCATGTATGCATGTATGTGTGTACATGTGTACGTAAGTATGCATGCGTGCATGTATGCATGTGTATGTGTATGTAGGTATGGATGTACGCATGTATGTATGTATGTATGTATGTATGTACATAGGTGTTTGTATGTATGTGTATATATATATATGTATATCAAGTAACGGCCGTTACCCTAGGTGGAGGTGCTGGTTCTCCATATCATTCCTCCTCCTCCTCCTCCGCCTCCTCCTCAACCTCATCATCCTCTTCATCCCCCTTTCTCGAATCCGTTTACATTACTCGTCCTATCCGTCTTCTGCGACGCATGCGTGCTGCATTTCTTTCTGTATGAGCTGAGTCTGGGTGCGCCAAGTGAAAGTGAGATTATGTCCACCAACGGTCGTCACCCAGGGGGGGGGGGCGAGTAATGCTAACGCGTTGGTGAGGTGGGGCACGTTAGGGCGGGGGGGGCGCTGCGATCGCCGTAGTTTGCGCCAGCATGTTGGGGGGGATCTCAACCGAAAACGTAACAAATCACAAGCACCTCGGAACGGAATACAACCCTTTCAGCATGCAGACACCACCACCGTTACCTAAATGCGTAAGTCTTGCTTTTCTTCCAGAGGCGCCCGCACCTCCATCGCTGCTTCTCATGCATATTGTTCTTGCTACACGATTGTCTCAGTCTTGCTTACGTATTGCTCCACCCTTGCTCCACTAGCACTCCGCACTTGCTCCTTCTATTGCTCCACGATTGGTAAACTATTACTCCATCTCCGAAATTCAACGTCAAAAACATTCTTCCTCAACGCAATGACTGCTCCATTATTGCTTCATGAGAGCTGCATCTCCACGTTTCCTGTAAACAGTACTTCAAATGCATCGCGAAACACGCCATTACGCAACGCTCAACTTCTAGTGGAAGGGGGGACAGAAGGAGGAGAGCATGCCAGGGAGGAGGAGGAGGAGGAGGAGGAGCAGCAGCAGGAGGAGGGAGGAGAAGGCTCATGGCCCACGCGCGCGC